GTGACCTAATGAGAATTTTACTGCATTTTTCTTCTTATTGGGGTTTGTATGATAATGTTGGTTGTATATTCTAATAAGATCGACTTAAAGTCCCCCATGAAGTCAAGATTATTAATTTAAGATGTTTTTACTTCCGCCTGTGTTATACGTCTCCAGTTTCTGATCCAACAGGACAGGAGTCCTTATGTCTCAGGGGTTTTTATGAGGGTCGTTGTCGTTAAAGGGTTGATTTAGAGTTCCTTGTTATAATTCAAATGTAATAAAGTGATTTGAGATGATCCATTGTCACTCATGTGTCGTGTAGTGTTTAGGTTTCGTTTGTTTTGTACTAATTGCTGCGATCAAAGCAAAGGTACGCATTCTCTCTTTGCGTTCTATTCGTATACGCCACCGGAGGCAATAGACCTGGTCCTTTTTACAATTACGCTCTGCAGTATCTGGTAGTTATTTTCTATCAGAACCGGGGCTCATCAGCTAGGGATCGAACAGTGAACAACGTTACATGCACCGAGGTCATTTACAGAGTTTTCTGAGACAGTGATCTAACCGCTAACGCCGTTAGCTCGTTCAGCCATTAGCCTAACCGAACCGCCTCAGTACTGGATTCTCTGTCGGTCTCGAGGTTGGTCGTCCCGGTCGCTGTGTGTCCCCCGCCTGTTTGTGTTTCATGGGGACTTTACAGTCTGAACTCATTCTGACAGACTGTTGAACCATAGTGTGCTTTGGTTTCCTACCTCATGTGATGTGTTAGTGTTTCTGTTCTGCCTCTTTATGATGACAGCTAATGTGGCTTTAACTCTGTTTATTTAGTGGCTGCTGGCGCTCCGGGTAACCGGCGTGGGCGAGGGGGCGGACATCGCGGCCGAGGACGCTTCAATGTTCGCCGAGACGGACCCATGAAGTTTGAGAAAGACTTTGACTTTGAGAGCGCCAACGCCCAGTTCAACAAGGAGGAGATCGACAGAGAGTTTCAGAGCAAGCTGAAGCTGAAAAGTGAAATCAGACTGTTAACATCTATAGCAGCACGGCGCTAATGTCCGTCTGTCCTCATTAAAATTATATTAATGATATAATTTATATATTATATAATGTTTCCCTCCTTTTTACCTGCACAAACATCTGTGGTTCTTTATTATTAGTCACATTAAATGTGACTGTTGGTTCTCTCGCCGCTCAGATGAGAAGACGGAGAAGACGGAGAAAGCAGTGAACGGAGAGGAAAAGGTCGACTCTGGCGTGGAAACGCAGAACAGCGAGAGCAACGCTGACGAGGAGGGCGACCCGCTCGGCCCCAACTGCTACTACGACAAGTCCAAGTCCTTCTTCGACAACATCTCCTGTGACGACACCAGGTTC